AATCTTCTACGCGCATTTGATGATTAGGGGCAATCTAGACTATATCAAATGCCTACGTTTTTGCATTACCAATACCACGCTATTCGATCAGCCATCAAATAATTTGAAACGCAATTCATCTGATGGTCAGTCGCATTGTTTTTCTTTCCTTTTGCTCGCCTCCATGGAATGTTTACACATTTAGACAGTGTATTATGACAAATAAACATGTACAGCCCACGGCATAAGAAATGTGCGGTTTCAGTCCTGGGTATGTTCTGCATCTGAAGCTTAGGAATGATTAGCCAGACCACAATGAAACTTTGAATGTAGCTAGCCTGTATCGTTACACTTGCAGCTGCAACTTTATCAATTGACGTCTTCTTTTCGATCACTCCGCATTAAAGAATCGCCAGTCAAAGCCATCCGTTGAGATTGGCAAAACCGCACATTACTTTAGCGGTGTGCTGTACCTACTGCCTACATGTATTACGCATAGAACCTTTCTAATGGTTTAATTTTATTTCCAACTCTCACTCGTATTCGTTTACTCAGCATCGGTCCATCGCCTATCCCCAATATTCGAGTTCAACTCCGATCTAATGCATCGCAAATCGACCATTTGTCATAGATCACACTCAATGTCAACCGAAGCCTGAGCTTGTCGCGTAAATTGCGTGATTTTCGTTCGCGCCATTTCTGGACGTGTCGCCAACAGTGCTGAGTGCAGTATGAATCATGACGTAATGATGATGAACTGTGGCAGTCGTGGCCGTGAAGTGTATTTGAACGTGACGGGAAGAACTGTAAACTTCATATAGAATTGATTTTAGGAGATTAGGGTTAGGAGAGGAGAGCGAAGGAGAAGAAGGGAGAGAAAAGAAAGAAGAAGGAGCAGAAGGAGAAGAAAGAGCTAGATGATAAACATATTCAGCCCTTATCTTAAACCCTGACCCCCTCTGTTATATATAAAGCAATAAGTTGAAATTCTTATTGTTCGGGTGTAAGATGTATCTAATGTTTAAGTCTATTTATTATTTCTGGTACAGTAACTAATTATGGCGGCAAGTTTAAGTTGTAGGTGTATTTATATTGCCATAGCATTTTATAATACCCATCCTAATTGATGCTTTGTGAACTAGAAGAGCAGATACAACATTCCATATTTGTAGTAGCTTACCTTCTCGTTTTGCTCAGACAAATCTTCTTCGTCATTTCCTGACAGACAGGTCATGTCATCAAGCTTGATGGATGCATCATTTTCTTCCGTGGAGCATATCTGAAAACCATTCGAAACATCAAAGATTTAAAATGGCCACCTGCAGAATAACTAGCCGTAAATTCGATTGTCGTATTTAATAAAGAATTATAAAAGAGAAACAATTGCTCTTCAGCTAACCAAAAACATCCATAAAAAACTAATCCATGGTATGGGTCAAGTGATATTTTGAAAACCACCCGCCATGTATGTTGGACAGGTGGTAGGTGGTGGGTGGTGGAGAAGGGGGGGGGGGCTTAGTGTGTTCTCTAGTACGGCTTATCGACCAGTTAACAACAAGCGTGGTTTAATATTACTGAGCAGCATTCAAAATGTCGTCATAAATTACACAAAAAAGAAACTGTGGTTAGATTGTAATGGAAGTGCGGTTTATTTGTCGACGCGTGAAATTGTGCACGAGAATTGGAAAAGTAAATAATTATTTTCTGGGTGAATGTGGGGAGATATGAGGGATGATGGCACGGATCGACTTGGGAAGGATGTGTTCTTACCAATATAACGAATACGGACGATATTTTATTACAGATAGATACTTTCTTATTTCCTAATGTTCAAAGTTCATGGAAAATCATAAGTCACATCTCATAAATCAAGTCATCAAATTATTTAACCTGTAAACAAATGACGACTTCTTCTACTCGACCTTCAGACATAACTAATAAAAATATCAGCTGTTTCGTCACGACCTTGATAAAATATGTAAGGTAGGAGAGTGGAATGGCTAACGCAATAAAAACCATATGAAGAATAAATTGGCTGTAGTTTCATTCAAATTGTACAACTTCATTGCTGCTCACATTGTGACTTTTTGTCTGACTTCAAATATGAAATATCGATAATTCAACGTGATGCCCTCATCTTTGTATCAATAATCGATATCTTTCAATTTCGTGAGCCAATATTTGATTACCGTTGCAACACGGAAGCGTATCTATCAGACTTTACTGCTGTACAATCGTGGGGCCATTGTAACAAAACGTGACGTAATTGGCACGACACGTGACGTGATTGAAGCGAACGTGACTCGACTGGTGCAAACGTGACGCTTTTGGTGATTGGGTCGTTTTATAATGGAAGACGGATATGCGGTTAGCAGGTCGTATGTCACGTGTCAATATACTCGTATGTCCACTGCCCAGTGTTCTATATATCCCGATGTGTGTACACACATCTGGAATGTTATTTCATATGATCATATACTATTTCTGCTAATTTTACATACAGCTATTGGTTTAACTAGAATGGGGTCATTTAGAAAGAAACACGCATACATTTACGTGCTTTACCTTCTAATTTTAGCATTGAATTAAAAAAAGTTCCAAGCTCGTGCATCTAAAATCATCGCTAAAATCATCTAAAAGCATCGCTTCTAGATAGAACAGTCTTCCGCGTCGAGATTTTGATAAAATCAGCAGAGAGCAGCTGTCTCCGCGAAGTTAAAAAAAAACGGACTCCACCATCTTACAGAACTAGCGGTACCTAACTGAGACATCAGCAGGATATAGACAAATATAGCCAATCGTTTGGCGTATTCAATAAAGCACAATCCTAATGAAACCTATTTGAGAGCAATCTATGCTTGAAAGCCTTAAGGACAACTGATAAGTCAACGATATGTCCGGAACAAACGCTGCCAGAAGGCGTTACGGATCTGAGAAATGATGTAAAATTCCCCAAAAGAACAATAAATCGTCTGAGCTCCAACTTTCTCCGCCTCCCATGTGCGATAAATCCTTTGAAACGCGTGGAGATCATATCCATTCGTCACCGCAGTTTATCAGCTCCCGCGGCAGTTTGCAGCTAGGTCGTTTATTTGAGCAATTATCGTGCGTTTGATTTATGGACTCTTCCATTACAAGAGCAACGCGTGGTGATGGGCAGCTAACAATTCGTCGGCAATTTTACGTTATGCGGGTAAAATCACTGCGCTATAGCAATATAAGTTTAAAATATATATAATGCGATATGATCATTGCTGGATTGGATTGTGGATACGACTACCCAGCACAAGGAAAGCAAGGAAATGCACCACAAGGAGAAAGAAAAACGTTCCAGTGATATGGAGAGAAAGAGATAGGGGACCAGACATAGGGAGGAGAGAGAGAGAGAGAGGGGGGGAAGAGAGATAGAGAGAGTGAGGGAAAGAGAGAGAGAGAGGGAAAGAGAGAGAGTGAGGGAAAGAGAGAGAGGGAAAGAGAGAGAGAGAGAGAGAGAGAGAGAGAGAGAGAGAGAGAGAGAGAGAGAGAGAGAGAGAGAGAGAGAGAGAGAGAGAGAGAGAGAGAGAGAGAGAGAGAGATTCCAGCACACCGATGACGGATTCCTAATTCGTCCAGCTCACCTGTGTGCTTGGCTGCGGCGGAACAGACGCGTCGCTCCCCGGTAAACGGAATGGACTCTTCCTCTGGCCGCCCCTCACAAATAATGGACTCGTCCGTCCATATGGCCTTGCTGCCCTGTTGGTGATCCCGCGAATTAGAAGTTTGATGAGCGAGGATAGAGGGCGCTCGGGTGGTCGATATTCTTGAGAGGGAGGCTCTTCTGTTTGGAATGGTGGCTGCACGTTGTCGAGTTCTGGCTGCTCCTCATGGCCTTTACTTGTTTCATGGGATGACAGTTGTGTAGGCCATTCGGGCTCCGGTCACCGAGCCAGCTGGTCGGGTCAGCGCTCCGGGCGAGGTCACGGTCGGCCGGTGCCGGGATGGCTGAGTGAGAGTGGCCCAGTGGGTGCCCGGGCGGCGGCCGTGTGTGTGCGCTGAGCGCTGAGCATAGCGCTGAAGTTTGTGACGCCGACAGCGATTAGTAACAATTTTTGAGTGCTCAAACAGTGAGAACATGGTGGCGACGGACACTGAAAGTGGTGCCGAGGACAGTGTATTCACCGACGCCACTTCACAGTCGGAGACTGGTGCAGGGACCGTCGTACGCAGAAAACGGCAATTTTCTGTGCCGGAGATGGTGGCTCGCGCAGAGGGCAGGAAGTCCAAGCGACCGGCGGTGAGTAGACTGTCGAAGTCTCCGCGTGAGACCGCATCGCCCGGCGCAGCTGTGATGTCCGCAGAAGCCCCAGCCACCGTGGAACTCAGCGACGCCGCCATGTCTCGCATTAAGCAAATGCTGGATGGAAGCATCGCAACGGTCATCGCTGCGTTCGAAACAAAGTTCAACAGCATGCAGCAGAGAATCGACGTGCTGGAAGGAGAAGTTATGGACAGGGACGTGGAGATCCGTAGCCTGCATGAGCAGCTGGTGAGACAAGGAAAGGCTCTGGAGGAACAGCAGGAGAGAACAGAGGGCATCGACCTCAACCGCAGACTCTCGACGCTGATCCTCACCTGTGACGACTTCATCTCCAAGACGACTGACGAAGATGTCGAGCAGAAGATCTCCCAGGTGCTGAACCAGAGGTTCCCGTGGCTCAACATGACGCCAAAGGACATCCAGTCGGCTCACAGGCTCCAAGCGAACAACAAAGTTATCGTTCGCTTTGTGAAACGTCGAATGCGTGACGCAGTGTACGAAGGCCGATTCGAGCTGGTCAACAGGACTGCGCGCGACGCTCGCAGACTGTCACCGCTGTACATAACAGAGAGCCTGACTCCCAAGAATCGTGAGGTCTACTCTTACCTGCTGGAAGCCAGGAAACCCGTAAACGGAAGCAAGGTCGCTTCAGTCTTCAGTCGCCGCGGTCTGGTGTTCTGCCGGGTGGAGAGAGGAGGGCCCAACATCAGCGTGCCGGATCTCCAGCGAGCGCAGCGCATCGTGAGCGGGGAGCGCAGCGCTCGGAGACCGCCCCCGGGCAGCGCGCCCTCCCGGCCTCCGGGCGGCCCCCGCCCTCCTGCTCCTGCGGCGGCGGCGGGCCCGCCTCAGCCCGGCGACGCTCGTCCGCCGGCGCCGGCGCCTGCGGAGACGGTCTCGACTCGGCCTGGTGCTGCCGGCCCTGCCGCTGTTCCCGCTGGGCCCAACCCGTCTCCTCCCGCGGCGTTGGCGGCTCCGGGGCTGCCGGGAGCTATGGAGCTGCGGGAGCCGTCTGGCGGCGCGCCGGCGGCCCGTCCCGTGGCGGATTCCCGTCTAGGATCCGTGACAGCCGGAGCGGTCCCTGGATCTGCAGCGGGAGCCGTGGTGGGAGCTGACCAGTGACAGGTACCGTTCTCATGGGTATAGCCAGTAGTCTGCCGCAGATCAATTAGCCTAAAAAACTTTTGTGTTCGTTTCAATTACGCACTGCAATGTTGGTAGAATGTCGTTTATTGCGTTTTCACAGAGCATTCTGCTTCTTCAGATTGGGGTCGGGTAATATTAAGGGTAGTTTGTAAGCGTCTGAAGTACATGAAATCAGTACAGATTTCCTTGTCCATACTTCTGTTGCGATGTCGTTGCCGGCGTCTACGGGGGCGGTGCCGGTGCGGCGTCGCCGCCGGCGGGCGGGCGCAGTGGCTGGGCTCTGCCCGGACGACGCGCACCGGCTGCCGGCGGCCGGCCGCCCGGGCCACGGCGCCTGGTGACACTCGGCTTACCAGTGACGATGCTGCTTAGTTTAATCGTTCATAATATGTAGAAGCGGATATTAGGAGGCTTACACTGTGCCGTTTTTTATATATATATTTCTAATGTGTTTGGTAACCCCACTCTGTTAAAAAAAAACTGACAAATTGTACCTTCACATATGAGGCCGGCCGAACTATTATACGTGTGGCCGCCCGGGTTCTCGGTTGGCCCACTGCTTCTGGCAATGTGTCAGACGGGGGAATGTGTCGGGGCATGGAGAGAATCGAAATTCATACGTCCATTTCAACCCTTGCTCTGTCGCGCCCATATCGTGCTTATGCGCCTGCCGCGCGCCCACTTCGCCGGCGCCGGCTCCGGCGCGCGCGCGCGCCGCGGGTGCGCTCGCGTGCTCGCGTGCGCTCATGCACACATGCATACTACCATCAGCACAGGTACACACAATACCTGCGTACACACGGACACAAGTAGCACAGTAACCACCCAAACAACCAGTGATACGAATGCAACAGTTCGACACAAGACACACCACCACACAGCACACAACACTTACACACATACCTGCGGTTCTCGGGATTCTGTCGTGGCCAGTCACAATTGCGTATGTTTAAAAACGAGCGTGTGGTTTGAGGAGTTGAAAAGTGAATGTATCCAGGTCAACTTAAAGAAGGTTGAAAAATCAGAAACCAAGGCATCAGTAAGTTAACTATATTTTCAATGAACTGTCGCGGTTTGAGTCAACAGGCCAAAAGGCGTGATGTACTTCACTACATCCGGAATTACAAATTTAACATCGTGTTTCTGCAGGATACGCATATGATAGAACAAACGCTGCCATTTTTCAATAGCCTATGGAGCGGAACCGCCTATCATTCATGTTTGTCTGCACGCAGCAGAGGCACCTGCATATTGATTGACAGAAGTACGTCGTACAGCATGATAAAAAACATACATTCAAAGTGTGGAAATTATGTCATAGTCATTTGTAAAATACAAACTTACGTATTCGCGTTCATTTGTTTGTATGGTCCAAATAGAGATAACCCAACATTCTTCACCGAAGTATTCGAACATTTAGAAAACATTGAAGTAGATCACATCATCCTCGCCGGTGATATGAATTTTGTAGTCGACCCGGAAAAAGACTGTCTAAATTATAAGACAGAAAATAATGTAAATGCAAGAAAAAACTTCATACAACTTGCAAATAATTTTAACATGATAGATATATGGAGACAGCTTAATCCGAACAAACGAATGTACACATGGACACGTAAAAACCCCTTCCAGAGCGGGCGTCTAGACATGTTCTTCGTCACAAGTCACACAGCAAATGTGATTACAGATGCAAAGATCCTACCTGGGTATAAGACGGACCACAATGCAATAACAATCACAATTAACGTACAGAATGAAGCAAAAGGCAATGGTTTATGGATGTTGAATACATCACACTTGACGAGCGAAACGTATATTCAAAAAATGAAAACATGTATCGTAGAAATCTTGAAACAATATGCAGCTCCTGTGTATCAGGAACACGTTTATAGCGACCATCATAGTTACCCATACATTCAGCTTACCATTGGGGAATGCTTATTTTACGAAACACTCTTGATGATGTTGCGAGGAGAAAGTCTGAAATTTTCCAAACAACATGCTAAGCGCATAAGATCAGAAGAAGAACATCTAAAACAAAAAATTATTACCGCACATGAAAAATTTAATGAATCCGGACTTGAACAAGACTTAGAGAATTTAGAACTCGCGAAAAGTGAATTAGAGGAATTGAGGAAACCTATAATAGAAGGACTTATTATTCGATCCCGTGTCGCATGGCACGAAGAAGGCGAAAGAAGCTCAAAATACTTTCTGTCTCTTGAGAAGAGAAATGGACAATCCAAATGTATACAATACATCAAAGAGGGAGATCGTATAATTACCCAAACAAAAACTATTATGACTGAATTCACCAAGAACTTACAAGCAAAATATAGGGACAGTAACACGAATACAATAAATAAGAGTATGATTAAAGCTAATATAACGAAAAAATTAATGCAAGCCGACATAGAGAGATTAAATTCTGACCTTACCATGGATGAATTAACATTAGCTTTACAAAGAATGAAGAAAGGAAAAACCCCAGGAGCAAATGGTTTCCCAGCTGAATTCTTCAGAACTTTTTGGAATGAAATTGGACCGTTCTTACACAGAGCCTTTGTTGCATCGCTCAAACAAAATCAAAATTTCCCATCACACCGGGAAGGCATCGTTAAAATGATACCCAAACAAGGTAAATCCCCGCACTCACTAAAAGGATGGCGGCCTATAACGTTGAAGACTGTTGTCAAAGAATGGGATAGAAAAGGTCTCAGGTTTATTGGCGATTTGTTCGATAAAAAGACAGGAAATGTATACAAAAAAGAGGAAATCGAAAATAATTATGGCATCCAGATGACATTCCTGTGTTATGAGACACTAGTACGCAGCCTTCCACTGTGTTTGCGCAACAGCCCAAATAATTTCGAAAGTCCGAACATACCGTTCAAAATAAACGCGGTGATGAACGAAAATAAGTTTTCGAAGTATTCTTACAATATTTTTGTAAAATCCCTGGCAGCAAAACACACAACAACTAACAAAAGAATCGAGGAAAAATGGAAGAATGACATTGGAAACTATATTATGGGAACATCAAGGAAACTGATTGATGCAGCTTTGTCTACATATTTTGTATTCTTTCACTACAGAATAGTTATGCGTACGTTCCCAACAAATAAATTGCTCCACGTTATGCAAATAGAACCTTCCAACCAATGTTCCTTTTGTGAAGAATCTATTGAGACAATTATACATCTTTTCTGGGAGTGTCCTAAAGTGAAAATTTTCATAAAAGAAGTCCTGTCACATATTAGGCAAAAGTACAACAAAACATTGACAATAAACAAAACAATGTGGTTCTTGCTAAACGATGCAGATGACATTGAAGTTCTCATTATTACGCTTTGTAAATATGTCACACACAAAGCACGATTGAATAAAAGTAAACCTACCTTGAACGTTATGCTAAACGTATTGAGGATCGAAGCACAAAAAGAGTATATTTTATTCAAATCTAAAAACAAACTAAACGAATTCCAAACTAAATGGGGAGCACTCGAACAAATCCTCAAATAGGAAGCGTACATTCTCTGAACTTGCGACGGATAGGTGTCAGCAGCGTCCCGGAAGCCGCAGGCACAATAAATCACGACATGAAAACAGGAAAGCGCGCGACACACACACACACACACGCCCCCCCCACACACACACCCACACACACCCACACACACCCCCACACACACCCCACACACACACACGTCCACACTTTTTTCTTTTCTTTTTTAATTCGCGTCGTTTTTACCGAGGCCCCCACCCCTATGACCCATCCGGGCCAACCCGGGACCGGCCCCTGTGGGTCGGTCGGCTGGCCGGGCGTGCGAGACGCCAGCCGGTCTGGATGACGTCTCGCACTCCCGGTCGGTGGCTAGGGAGCACCGCCCGACGGGATGAGTCGGTCGCCGGGCGGTGCGGGTGGGGGCTGGCCGGCCCGCCTGGAGGTACACCGGGGCGGTATCCCCTAGCCCTCCCCGGTCGGGGAGGCATCTTCTAGACCTCCCCGGGGCCGGGACGGTTGTCATATGGGTTAAGACACCGTCCCGTCCTGGCCAGGCGGGCTTTAGATACTTTTTATTCATTTTAACCATGCATTGGCTCGTGAACATGCATTGTGGTACAGTTTAACTGTCTTATAAGTGTATGAATAATGTATATGCAAGACACACACGCGCACGCTCACAAACTCAAACATACTGCACCCAATCATACAGCATTTGTGCATGCGCGGGCGCGGCCGCGCGCTCTTCTTGGCGCGCGCGGGCGCCGGTGTAGGCGCTGGTGGCTGGGGCGGGCGTGCGCTGTGTGCGAGCGGGTGCCCTGTTTCAATATGTTTCAATATTATTGTAAACTGTTTTGCAGCTCAACCTCCAAACAATACCTACCTATTGATTTTGGTGCAACAGTGAAAAAAACTTCATACCAAATGCTCGCTTTTTGTTTTGTTTTCTTGTTTATATAGTGTTCGCCTGTGTCGTCCATTGGGTAGGTCAGAGCGCCAATATGGAAGGATACGGGTCAGTGTTCTGTGTTTGGCGTCTTTGTTGTGTTGTTGCGCATTGGAGAGGAACAATGTATGTTGCGGTGTGGCACGAAAATAAACCGTTCAACCGGGAAAAAAAAAAGAAAAAAAAAGACAGTTGTGTAGGAGCGGAATAGAGAGATGTGGAGGAGTTGGAAGGTTCAGTTGCGAAGGAATATTGCTGGGAGAAACCCACAGCGTCTGGTTTGTTTGTGGCTGACGACACTTGAGTCGACTCTCGCGTTTGGAAAGCAGGGTCTGGCTGTTGAGGATAAATAACAGAGGAATGTGCCTCTGGGTAAGCTGAAGGCGATCCTCCCACCTCCGAAGAACTGATCTGCATGTCGGGTTGTTCGATGAACGAAGCTGCTTCTGTGGCTCTTTGAATGGGTTGGGAGCCAGCTTCTGCAACATGCTCCATTAAAGGGCGCGTCTCTGCGGTAGGCAACAGACGGAAAGGTGACTGTCCAGGAGCTGGAGCGGGAAGTTGCAAAGTGGGGTATATCTGGGGGTACGAGGGAACAGCTTCATTTTTCAGAGGAGGAAGGTGGTGGGACAAGGGCTGAGGATTAGGCAACTGCGAGCTTTGGTGGTCCATGGGCGATGACTCTGCGGGGTTTAGCATTGAAAAGTCTTCTTCGCCACTATTTGTCATGAGTGGGTTGTCGTACTCATTGTTACCATCACAGTGCAACATTCCTTGCTTGTCCTTCACGTTCTGCTCACTCTGATCTACTTGTTTATCTAGCTTTTCGCTCAATCTCTCGATTCCTGATTGATCATGGATCCGTTGATCTTCTTCTACCAAGTGCTCGGTTTGAACCGAACGCGGGTCGGTGTCAACGTCATCTTGCTTCTGCGCTTCCTGTCCAGAATCCTGTGCTTCCCCATATCCTTCAACATCTTCTTCCTTCCACATGTCTTCCTTCAGCTCATGCACAATCAGCTCCCCGTCATCTTCGTCGCTGTCCTCCTGTTCTTCCTCTTCTTCTTCATTTTTATCCACATTAAATTGCGGTAGTAAGTCTTCAGGAGTTGACTCGGCCTCCACAGTTTCGTATATCTTCACTTCTGGCTCCTCAGCAAAGTGTACCTTCTTTGGTATGCTGGAGTGTGAACCAAAGCTGCTTCTGCGCTGTAAGACTTGGCTTCCGCTCTTTGATCTTTCTGACCAGCCTTGTGGTGTTGACTCGCGATTGGTAGCACATTGGTCATGTTTTCTTTCCTCTCCTGAAGAAGTCTGAACCAAGTGATCGGCAGGTCCCAGAACAGGGGCGTCTCCGTGGTGTTGTAACGTGGCTCGGTCTGCACTTTCAGGCATGCATTGAAACTCCCTCTTCACGAAGGTCTGTTCCATTGCCGGGTTTGCTGACTTCCATTGACCTGTCCGTATATGGGATGGGTTATACGGCATCGCAGTAGCAGACTGATGAAACTGATGATGATTGCTCAACTCGTCTTCCGCGTAATGCCCAGAAGGATAGTGACCTCCAGTTCCTTGCAATGTTTGCCCAGGCACTGAATGAGTAGCATGATCTCCATCTTCCCCAAAACCACCAGCTGATATCTCACTCATGTCCTTCGGCAACACAGGATCTCGTTCCTCTCGCGGAACAAAACGTCTGGCGTCACTGCAGCTGTCCGTTGTTTCGCTTTCCACGCCTACGATTCTAACAGGGATGACGCGCACACGCGATGAATGCCCTTTCCCTGCAGTTTCACTAGCCTGTGGCCGTTTGGAAATGGTCTCTGAAGGTGAAATGCTACCAAGCGGTGTGGAGGCTGAGTTGAAACTGCCACCACCAGGACTAGTTGAAGAAGGTGCTGCTCCTTTCGTCGATGCGCCCGTTTCGAGATTTATCTGAAACAGATAGGATTTGATGTGATCGGAGTGTTCATGCAATGCGTTGTCTGAGAGAGGGCGTTCCCTAGTGAAAAAGTCCTTAGATAATTTAAGAGAGTCCTTGGATAATAAAAGTCATAGATAATTCTATTTAAAAACAGCCACACACTTCAAGCTTAGTTTACTACACATTTAGGTCATTAAATCTGAAATCAAGGAACATCGCCGAGGTTTTCTAAATATCTTATCTTCCTGCATTTGTGTCCGCAAATATCGTGATATAGATAAAAGCACTATTATGCATAGCGTGTTGTATCTCTGACAACAATACAGGCCTAGTCTCAGGATTGGTTGGATGAAAGCCATGTCAACCACCAATATTTCTAAAACAGCTGAGGAGGACAGGACGGGGCAGAACTCGAGCCAATTCCGGATAAATTCCGCCGTTTTGAGTCTAATTGCTACCATTGACGGATGGACCGAGGCTAGCCGAGCCCGCTCAGCAAAACTGCAATTTCTAATGAATCCTATTTCAGAAGTCAGAACGCGCTCGAGTTTTTGCTGACATTATGCCATTGACGTTAGATGCGCTACTGAGGGATAATTGGAGTAATTTTCGTCGTCGCTTACACAGAAGTGGTCAAGGTCATAGACTTACTAAGGATTATGTGAGATTGGCGTATATTTTTTTATAGACAATGTCGTTATGTAGAAGGCTAGACAAAAACAAACATAGCTGATTTTTTTCTCAAGCACGAGACTCAGATAATATTGGAGCATTATACCATATTCTATAATTATTAACTTTGGTTGTAAAATTCGTTAATCACCATGAACATTGAACAAATCTGTTGCTACGTGCAGCATTGAAAACAAAATCTTGTCGAAACACCAAACACCCAGTGTGCAAATCATGCTGCCTATGTAAACAAAACGCCTATAATAGATCCATCGCCAATTGTTCTTCTCGGAAGCAAGCTCGTTTGTTTTTCTGAGCGTGCGTGCCATGCAAAATGGCTCATTTTAAAGACATGTTTAGACGATTCCACTTCGTACTCAGTCGGAGTGGCGTAGAGTCTGCCCTGGCCACTCGCGGAGTTTCCCCTGGCGGAGAGTCTGCCCTGGCATGATGCCAAGGGCTGCTCCGGTGGTCTCTGTACGAAATGTATCGGAGCTGCTGTTTAATGCCGTCTGCCAGCAGCCTTGGAGGCCTGCAACTTGTATCGGAGAGAGGACCTAGCCTTGGGTCGTATGTGGTTGGTTATGGGTGGGGGTGCTGCCAAGGGCCAACGTCATTTTATAACTAGAAAACTGCTGACATCTATATGATATAAATTACAAAGTATGGACCAGGTATGAAATAAGCTAATGCCTAATGAAATCATATTTCTTTGATATCAAGAATGAAGATGATAATTAAATAACCATCATTATCATCTCACCTGCACTTTTTCTGCTGAAGCCAGTCCAGTGTTGTCCGCGTCTTTTCCCACTTCAAGCTCTATCTCATGAATAATCTCCTTCAACTTGTTGTTAATTCCCGCCTGACTGATTTCACCAGTCGATGACGTCATCATTTTTTTCTTTCGACTATACAATCATCAGTAACGTTATTGTTTCAACAGTCTTGGAGTGAAGCTGACGGAGGCGAACTTTAGTACAGATCCCCCAAGGCGTCGTCAGCTGATTGTTTGCGTTGTTCGATTCAGCTGTCCGTGCAGGGATCGCTGTTTTCTTTACGATGATATGAACCGGTTCAAGCTCGGTTCACACCGCCCGATGTTTGTCTGTGGAAGAAAGAATAAAATGAGCCTGTTAAGTAAAATATGTATGGTGTTCGAAGTAGAAAAAAGAAATGTGGTTGTAAATTGACCGTTTTTTTCTTATTTAAGAGAGTTTAGCGTAGTGAGGAAAATCATATTGATGATTATGAGCATATTTTTAATTGACCGAATCCTCAATGTAATCTGAATAAAATGACAAATAGCAAAAATTCGGGTATATTCGATCACAGATCTTTGTCAACCGATACCAGCAGGCGCCACAATTGTAGATGTCAAAATACTTTTTGTTCAGTACACATGCACAACAGTAGATATGTCCTCAGGGAAAAGATTTATGGTTGGTACTTCTAAAAGTCGCAGCAGTCAAACATAATATGTACAGGGAAAGCAGTCAAACATAATATGTACAGGGAAAAACCTATACACAAGATTAAAGTGCGTTTGTGCCTAAGCATATACGAATTTAAGATGAAACAATACTTGCGGATCAATTAAATGGGCAGCAAGTTACACTCTTACCCTGGACAAAGTTAGGGCACATATAACATTTACACTGTGCGAAACAATTAAATGAGCATATTATACATAAATGAACATTATATACGTAAATGAGCATACATGAGCGTATTATCATACTATGACTACTCATACCCTGGACAAAGTTAGGGCGCATACAGCATCTATGAAAACGATCTACACAATCACTTTTTAACGTGGTGAGCTCTTGAAAATGCTACCCTACTTTGGAAGTAGCTGCCAGGAGGTGCTGTTATCGTTAAGAGCTGGCATCCTATCGCGGATGGTGATGGATTCAGCAATCCTCCTGTCAGCTTCATCCTTACATTTGCGTACGATGCGTGCTATCAGAGTCGTGTCCGTTGGGGTCAGGTCTGGGTGCTCGTGCGCGAAATGTTCACCCATTGGTGTGCCTAGTTTCTTGTTGGTGCCATCTCGTAAGTGTTCGTTATATCGCAGTCGTATTGGCCTACCGCTTTCTCCTACGTAAGTTTTGTTGCACAGACTACATTTCAATTCGTACACTACGTTTTTCGTGTGACACTTTCCCCGCAGCCCAGCTTGACATGCGTGGCAGTGCTGTCTGCCTGAAGGACACGGTGGGTCTTTGAGAGCTGACCGCACTAGCTGTCTTTTGAGTGTGTTTTGATTTGTCCATGCTGCAAGGATCGGAAACCCTGATGTTTTCAGCACTTTTTGGACCTTGGAGGCCACTTCATCATTTATGAATGGTAGTTTGACGTAAACTGTTCCCCTGCGCTTCCTTTTGTCCCTCTGCACCCCAGCTACCCCCCTGTTTGCACGAGAGCATTCCCGTAGCATGACACTTTTGATGAGCTTAGCTGGATAACCGTTCAGCTTAAATAGGGACGTGATCACCTCTAGGCTCTTGTCCCTACTTGGGATGTCGGAACTTATCCGAATGGCTCTTTTTACATGTCCTGTTAAGACTGCCTTTTTGGTCGTGAAAGGATGGGCCGATTGAAAGTGAAGGACAAGTTTTGCGGCATTGGGCTTAATGTACAGTTGTGTAGTGTACGTGCCGTTGTCCTTTACTGTAATCAGTACATCAAGGAAAGGGAGAGATCCGTTTGCATCAGATCGCTCCATCGTGAACTTGATCGTTTCATGTTTCGAGTTTAGAAAGTCTAGGTACTCGGATAAGCTTTCTGCCCCGTGTGTCCATACCGCAAACACATCATCTATGTAGCGCATGTGCGCTACATAGATGATGTGTTTGCGGTATGGACACACGGGGCAGAAAGCTTATCCGAGTACCTAGACTTTCTAAACTCGAAACATGAAACGATCAAGTTCACGATGGAGCGATCTGATGCAAACGGATCTCTCCCTTTCCTTGATGTACTGATTACAGTAAAGGACAACGGCACGTACACTACACAACTGTACATTAAGCCCAATGCCGCAAAACTTGTCCTTCACTTTCAATCGGCCCATCCTTTCACGACCAAAAAGGCAGTCTTAACAGGACATGTAAAAAGAGCCATTCGGATAAGTTCCGACATCCCAAGTAGGGACAAGAGCCTAGAGGTGATCACGTCCCTATTTAAGCTGAACGGTTATCCAGCTAAGCTCATCAAAAGTGTCATGCTACGGGAATGCTCTCGTGCAAACAGGGGGGTAGCTGGGGTGCAGAGGGACAAAAGGAAGCGCAGGGGAACAGTTTACGTCAAACTACCATTCATAAATGATGAAGTGGCCTCCAAGGTCCAAAAAGTGCTGAAAACATCAGGGTTTCCGATCCTTGCAGCATGGACAAATCAAAACACACTCAAAAGACAGCTAGTGCGGTCAGCTCTCAAAGACCCACCGTGTCCTTCAGGCAGACAGCACTGCCACGCATGTCAAGCTGGGCTGCGGGGAAAGTGTCACACGAAAAACGTAGTGTACGAATTGAAATGTAGTCTGTGCAACAAAACTTACGTAGGAGAAAGCGGTAGGCCAATACGACTGCGATATAACGAACACTTACGAGATGGCACCAACAAGAAACTAGGCACACCAATGGGTGAACATTTCGCGCACGAGCACCCAGACCTGACCCCAACGGACACGACTCTGATAGCACGCATCGTACGCAAATGTAAGGATGAAGCTGACAGGAGGATTGCTGAATCCATCACCATCCGCGATAGGATGCCAGCTCTTAACGATAACAGCACCTCCTGGCAGCTACTTCCAAAGTAGGGTAGCATTTTCAAGAGCTCACCACGTTAAAAAGTGATTGTGTAGATCGTTTTCATAGATGCTGTATGCGCCCTAACTTTGTCCAGGGTATGAGTAGTCATAGTATGATAATACGCTCATGTATGCTCATTTACGTATATAATGTTCATTTATGTATAATATGCTCATTTAATTGTTTCGCACAGTGTAAATGTTATATGTGCCCTAACTTTGTCCAGGGTAAGAGTGTAACTTGCTGCCCATTTAATTGATCCGCAAGTATTGTTTCATCTTAAATTCGTATATGCTTAGGCACAAACGCACTTTAATCTTGTGTATAGGTTTTTCCCTGTACATATTATGTTTGACTGCTTTCCCTGTACATATTATGTTTGACTGCTGCGACTTTTAGAAGTACCAACCATAAATCTTTTCCCTGAGGACATATCTACTGTTGTGCATGTGTACTGAACAAAAAGTATTTTGACATCTACAATTGTGGCGCCTGCTGGTATCGGTTGACAAAGATCTGTGATCGAATATACCCGAATTTTTGCTATTTGTCATTTTATTCAGATTACATTGAGGATTCGGTCAATTAAAAATATGCTCATAATCATCGTTTTTTTTCTTATATCGGCTTATATATTTATCGCCAAATCAAATGAAATAAAATAAACATCTTTATTTTTCTATTAGCAAATCAATGCTTGAAGCAACGTTACTGCACATGGATTTATGCGAACATAATAAGGCCAGTCTTAATTTTTGGTCCTAGATAATGCCCGTGAATGCGTAGCATGTGAAAAAGCCTAACTTCTCCATACATTATAAAATAGCAAAACTGGCCTTCCCTGCCCTACCAACACTTCACACACACCGTCCGTCAAAACATTTGACTAGCGCTCCTCAAACGCACGAACTAGCCGTCCTAGTCTGATAATTAGTGTCAAAATTTGATACGGTACGCCACAAGCTGAGGTTAAACAATCCAAAGGCGAACAACGAGCAAACTTATAAATTTGACATGTGTCTGATCTGGGTAAATGTAATGGCGTAATGCACAAAACGCAAGACAGGCAATCACTTTTGACATCAATTTTGAAGCTTCAAATAAAGATTTTTTTCGTGTTGCATTTATGGTTGTATAGTATTTATTTAGCATTGATATAATTCATTTAAAGCTTTGTGTTTGGGTGTAACTGTAGCTATGCTTGAGAGTTGTTTGTTTTTTTTCGCTATGTTTGTGATTTATCGTATTGTTTGGACCAATGAGAGTTTAGGGGTTTGGTTGTCGTTTTGCTGAATCGTCTTGAAGGCAATGACCGCGAGCTTAGACACAACACTTTTGGCAATGTCATGATATCTTATCTATTGTGCCGCTCACGTGATCTGAAGATTGTTGCACAATCCGTTGGTAGTCTGTAAATCGTCATCTTCAGATCATTGCATAATTTTATTGATAAAATAGAGGAGCGATTCTGATGAAAACCCTCAGCATGGGCCTTGAACACGAGCCATCAGGCTTACAGTGAAACGGGCGTGTTTCGTTGAGCGAAAGAGTCTTTCCCAGTGATTCAAATATTATCTGCGTGGCACGCCACCACCTGGCTTTCGTGTCAGAGTGTTTGCTGAGCATGGCACGCAATGTGAGCACACGGATTGTCCAGAAACATAGTTCAGGGGATTAATGTTAAAAATGTCCTCGGGGTGTCGATTTTCGCCGAGTTGGGGGTGCCCGAGCTCTTCAAATTCCACGCCGGTTCGGCTGGCTCGGCTTTGGAGCCGCAACAAGCGGCGTGAGTCAAGGTCACCGCTAGGGCAGCGGCGGATTTGTTGCGCCCGGGCACCCCCAACTCGGCGGAAATCGACTCCCATCAGCCGAGGAACGGGAATGGCAGCTCTGGGGCTAAAATTCAGCCGCAGAAAAGGGTTTTAAATATGAAATGTTTCAGCGCATTTCAAACTGTCGTAATTGACGGGACCAAGAATCGTCTTGTTGATTCGGCAATGCATTTGCACACACTGGCATCACTCTTCATGGGACCTACCGTGCATAGTACACCTTTACAATATTGGACAAGAGATAGTTACAGTCATTTCGTTGCTATCCTTCCCTTATTGAGCCGGGTAGTGTCATACATCCAAAATCCACGCTTACATCCAAGTCCGTTATCTGAGATACCTATAAGAAAGGTTAGAATGGGCCAGATATTATTCAAACGCCAATATCTACCTCCTACCTCTCATATATCGTAAATTCGCAACAACATCCAGCATCATTTCGTATAGCTATTATTCATGCTTATCGAAGTCCCGCTTCATGTCATAGACCCCACCTCCCGTTCGGAAACTTTTGCCCTCCCCAACCAAACGGATCGGCTGGATCCGCCTCTGCGTCTGATTAGCTGGGCGGCTTGTCCCAGACGAGATTGGCTCAGCCACCGCTAAGCATAGGCGGCGGAACAGGGGGGAGGGGCACCAGGGCACCGTGCCCGGCCCCTTTCATTTCGGCGTTTTAACCCTCGCACGACCAGGCCATTTCTCATAACACGAACGACCAGGGGGGGGGTTGTTACGACCCCCCCCCTGGCGTTTCGAAACGGAAGGTCGTAGAGCTTAGCGGAAAAGACCAACGGATTGCTCTCGCCGAGATCTCGCGATTGGTGGTATATTTTTTGGTCCTAGGTCAACATTTGACCTACTTTTGACCGGTCAAAGGTCAAATTTTCGGAAAAATAGACTTTTTTCAACTTTCGGCGGCGATTGCGGCAAAACGGTGGGAGATATCGACTTGAAACCTTCACTATCGTGTTCCTTGATCAATTCTCTATCGTTTGGTATGTATTTCGTTTCCCTAGCTCTAAAAATGGCGCGTTGGGAGCGCCGGAAGTCGGCAAGGTCACAGTCGGCGGCAGAAATTCGAAAAATCAAAATTTAAATTTTTGAAATCTGATTGTATTTTTGGATTTGGGAGGTCCATTTGCTCCCTGTAGAAGCTAATATTGCTGCATATTCCCATTGAGGTGACAAGAATTAGCAAAATAGTGGTTCGGGCGCTTTTCAAAAATAGTACCGGACGCTGTTCCTCTTGTGACGTCATAGCTCCGTGACCTGACCTGACCCGGTCAAATTTCTTATACCATATGATAGCCAATACTTGCCCCAACATGCATGGGAAGTTTCATCACGATCCATCAACCGATGTCCGTACCACCGGCAGGAAACCTCGGGCGTTGGCACTCAGTTTGTGAAAATCCGGCCGGAGGCTGTACCTCTTATGACGTCATAACTCCGTGACCTGACATGACCCGATCAATTTTTTTTCGGCAAAAGATGCGCAAAGGTTGCCCCATAAGGTACCCAAAATTTGGCGGCGCTGCGCGCCGCCGTTTTTGCACTATTTCCGAAAAACCTCAGGGGGGGGGTTGATACAACCCCCCCCCTAGGCGTTCTAGGGTTAACATTAGCCCATGAATGTTGCATGGAGAGAATGGGACCAAAACTCGGCAGTGCCCCCCTTAATTGAAGGTGTTCCGCCACCACTGCCGCTAAGTCCAGTCTATGATCGAATAAGCCAAATGTCTCGGCAGTATGTAAAGTAACGGTAAATAACTAACGGTAAATACTAACGGTAAATAACGGTAAATAGCCTTTGCCCTCAAAAGTCATGAACGTCAAACTAGCTACCGACCTGTGTTGGCACCTGCTCGGCTGTCTTGCGAAGCTGTAGTACCAGACTCGCCGCTAGATGGGAACACCACCGCCTCTGTACTACCGTCAGCGGATAATAAAGTCGCCTTTACGATCCGCGGTATCGGCTCCGATGAGGTTGTTTTCTGTAAGAAAAGAAAACTGGCCTCAATTATTGGAGATGGGCAATGTCTTTTTCTTGGGGGGGGGGGGGGAGGGGAGGTCGGCTATATTGTAACAAAAGCAAACGCTTCAATAAATTTGATTAACTTGCGCAGTTGATATGGAGATGGAAATTATGGGGTGGGAGATCCGAAGTCTTTTTATGCTCAGGGCTCTGAAATAAGTAATGGACCTTCAAATTGCTTGCCGCACTTACTAGTTCCTACTACAGCAACCAATAACCATAACGATAGGTAAATAAATCCCGTGAAGTGTCAAGTTAAGAGCAAAATGCGTTTTATTTGTATTCCTTATAACAACGAAAGTTCATAGATATCTATGATGCTGAAATTATGGTATCACTTTGTCTCTATTTTAGTATTAGTCACCGCTTTTATTCATTTAGCAGCGCATTACAGTTGTAGGCCACACCCTCTAACTACCATCGAATGATTGCGGATACAATTAGCTCAAATAATCCTAATAAGCTACATAGCTTCCTTTCGGGTTACTAAACTTCAAATTAACCTTTTCAGTCTCACCTTGGAGCGTGTCTGCAGTTCCACCTCGGTCTCCCGTCGCTCGTGTGTTTCAGTTTCCGTTCTAACTTCCATCGGAGACCTGAGGAAAGACATTGAATCTGTTATACATCGTCTATTTTAGATGGGTACATGGTTTTACCTCGAATTTATTTCACCTCAGGTATTTACAATTTGATAAATACGACTCAGAGATAGGTAAAACGGATAACAAGAATTGACACTTTTCTAGTTGTAAACAATGATCCGTTATAAAACATTACAATGAAACTGTCAACTATGCAACTATGGACTATGCAACTTTATAAAAATGAAAACCATAAAACGCCTTTGAAAAGGTCTTCAAATGATATCGATGACCATTGTTATGCACATTCAATATGACAATGGCGCGAACACTCCGCGCCCCGTTGGGGGGGGGGGGGGGGGCGAAACGACCCCCTGTCCTTCTCCGTCGATATCTCCTAAACGGCTGGAGATATCGCCACCAAACTTTCAGGACCCTCCCGGCATCAATTTTACACATTGTGGCCGAAAGCTATGACAGGTAGGCCACAAATGACGTCAGAATGACGTCATATTCTGTCATTTTCATTATGCATTATGAGGGCGATGCAGTCTGAATCAAAAATTGGCATAGTAAACTGGAAGTCAATTTTGACCGCCTTCTATGGAAATGTTCGTGCGATATTAGAATATTGTTGTGTCATATGGGGTGGTGCGGCAAAATCGCACTTAGATAGAGTAGAAAAGATACAGTATCACTTTCTCAGATGGCTATACTTTTATGTAAATCGAAGCGCGATACCAACCGATATTGATTATTCTCGTTTGCTCCAAATGTTTAACGTAACTGAATTAGAGAAAAGACGCCATCAATACGATATCATGTTTGTGGAAAAACTGTACAAAGGTGTCCTCGACTCACATATACTATTGGCACGGTTTCCGCTGTATGCTGCTCCAAGAATTACAAGGAGGATTGAAGGAGCTCGTGGTGTCATGAATGTACCATTTGCGCGGGTCGACACTATGAAAGGTTCGCTTTTTGTTAGGGCACCCACTATCATAAATGAATTTATGTTCGAGATAACAGATTTGGATTTGTTTCACGACTCAATGCGGGATGTTCGGGCTAAAATAAGACGACATATACAAAACATGTGAGTCCTGGTGTGAACCGCGTGATTGTATTTATTGTGTTATGCATGTACTGTATGGACTGTGTGATAGATATGGTTGGTATATCGAGGGATTGTATGTGTAAGAGACGAAAGACTAAAGACAATGTTTACACTGCTCCGAACGTATAACTGCTATGGACTGTTACTGGGCGTCAATTCGCCTGTTGTTCCATGACATCGAATAAATAAATGATTTTCGACCGAAAAAAAGACCTTCGCGAGAAGACCTGTCAGGTCTACAGCTTTGAAGATCCAGAAAAATGATCTAGACAAAAAGGGTGTAAAATTTACAGGGCTACAAAACTGCTATCACGGATTTTAGAAATTTTTGAGTTTTGACCCTCAAAAATCAAAAAAGCATTTTTTTGTATATATTAGCCAAAAAAAAATCCAAAAAGTTTTTGAGTTTCGAAAAAAAAAACGGAATATATGTGATAGTATACCTACCGTCTTCTATCTACATACCAAATTTCAGATCAATGCCTCGTTTTTTGGCCAAGTTATAGCGAAAAAACAACTGTTCAAAAATTTTGACGTCAAATTTTCAAACTCTATTTTTTCAATTCCAGACTTCGTAGAGCAAAACAAAGACCTTCATTAGACTCCCCGTGACGAGCTGCATCGAATCGATACCCATTTTATGCAAAAATATCAACTTTGAAATTTGACCAAATTTCACCTGACCTTGACCTGACCTTCACCAAAACGTGACCTAGGCTGGCCCCAAAGGCTGCCTAACCCACATAATCGCATTTGTCATGTAAAATGGACCATAAAACATATATCACACCACACTTTTATATTATGACCCCCGGTGACCTGACCTCGCTGTGACCTGACCTGGTATCAGTGACCTCAGATAGCAAAGTATGTGTTTGACGAACAATGTTCCATCGATGGTTTTCAATAAATTATCAATTTACTCGACAATCACAACACATTTCATGAAATGCCTGTGAACGGTGATTATCCGACTTTTGACCTGACCTGTGACGTCATCGGTTTGAACTCGGTCAGTGAAATTTGGTCACAAGGTAGTTCCCCGGTGGGGCTATCGAACGCCGTTTGAATTATGAAAATCGGCCGGTAAATTTCCGAGATCTTAGGGAGCCGAAACGCTACCCCCCCCCCCTTACGGGTGGTAGAGTCCGCCGATAGCCCTACGGGGCGCGGGTTAACAACGGAACCGATTTGTACATAGGTAAACGCGAAACTCGTGGATATTCGCTTGAAAAAAAATGCTTCTAGGCTAATGTAAAAAGTGCCCGAATGGACGAATGGCTGGCTATGGGACCGGGTGCCCCGCTAAGCAGTGCCGGTTGCGAATGACACCACGGACCCAACACCCGGCCTCACCCGCGACCGGTTCACCGGCTATGATTTGGATAGAAAATTTAGCGTACCGCAGGTAAATGGCAGCGCGGTCCTCTTGGGTCTTATAGCGTGGCCCTCTTTCGCCAGTTGCCAGCTGGCTGGATCTAGGTATGTGATATTCCACTGTTAGTAAGTAGCAAATGTCGTTTCTTCTCAATGTCCCGAGTCGTATGTATCAGTAACCTTGGTCCAATCTTACCAATGCCGTAAGTAGGATTTGGCAGCACTGGCCGGAGTGCACGGCACTGATACCAAAGATAATCTTTTTATTTACATCCGGCTAATCTTGTCCAATGATTTTGGTAGCATTAACCCGCGCCCGGCTGGGGGTCCTGGATTTCCACGCCCTGCTGGGGGGGTGTTTGAACACCCCCCCCCTTGTAACTCGGCTCCTGGGCCACGTAGCGATACGCGGAAGGCGGCGTTCGAAAGAGCGTCAAAAATAATGACGAAATCACTTCGGTCAATTTTTTGGTCAGGTCAAAGGTCAGGTCACCAGAGGTCATTGAAGGCAAAATTTCGCCGATTTCCAGGTCGAATGGCGAAAATTTTCCAGAAACCAACGCATAACTCGGGAACCAATAGAGCTACAGCGCCGCGGAAAAGCGCATTCGATAGCCCTATTAACGCACTTTCTGAGTAATTCTCTCAGATTTGACCTAACGTCAACGGTTTTGCCTGCAGGGGGCAAAAACTGCAAAAATAGCCGATTTTTTCGGAAACAGTTTTTCTGCAATAACTTTTGACCCAAGCCCTGTACGAGCTTACTTTTACCGGCATCGTGTTCCTCTCGTCAAGACGCATCGAATGACCTATAACTTGACCTTGAAAGGTCAACTTGAAAATTTGACCTCAGGTCAAGGTCATGACCTGACCGGAAAGGGTCATGTTGCATATCAGTCGATCCGTATCGTCGAGCTGAACACATCTAAGGCGTTTTCATCGCTCTAGCATGCCTCTATCAAAAGTTATTTGCGAAAAACTGTTAGATACCATTCGTGACCTAAGATGACCTCAGGGCATAAACAAGGGTCACGGACACCATTTTCATGTTCAGTGTGTCTAAACCACTTGTAATTCGGTGTTTGGGAGTGTTAATAATGTCTTTCATCCAAAAGAGGCGCATTTCAATTTTCTCCCATTGACTTATAATGGGGAGGTCGCAAAATTGACCTGACCTTAGGTCATCGATATCAAAATTCTGAGATATACATTTTGTACATGCTATTGCTCTTAGCAATCGCTGAAAGTTTTAAAGCGATCGGTCACTCGGTGTAGCTATGACAGACATTGAAACTTTTTATGAGGTGAGGTCACTTCAAGTGACCTGGTGACCTGACCTTGAATGACCTTGGTCTGAAATTTTCACAACATGTGTAGAATTGATGTATGATAAGGTGTACAAAAAACGGCGGCGCTCCGCGCCGCCGTTTTTGAGATATTCGCGAAAAACCACAAGGGGGGTGTTCAAACACCCCCCCAGCAGGGCGCGGGTTAAGAAAATGAATGTTGCCTTAACGAATGAATAAGTGAATGTGGAATAGTTCTGAATGTTACCAAATGCCGTGAATGCGCATTCATGGCATTTGGTAAGATTGGGCCCTTGTGTCATTTCCTGTCAGTATCCCGTAATTTATCCCGTAAGTTATCCCGTAGCCCGTAATTATCCCGTCATTTCCTGTCAGTATCCCCCAGCACGAGCCGAGTCCCGTTTCCAGCTCATGTAGCCTGCATCCCGTATCTGTGTCGTCTCGTGTCATACCACGTTTCCTTTTCACAGGGCTGCGGAGTCAGAGTCGGAGTCGGGGTAGGAATCGGTCGGAGTCCACAGATGTAACCGGACTCAGAGTCGGAGTCAAAGTCGGAGTCGGTGTCGGTTGTAGTCCACATATGTAACCGCAGTCGGATTCAGACTCGGAGTCGATTTTGGAAACCGGTGTTGGAGTCGGAATCGTCGGAATCACCGAAAATCCACCGACTCTGCAGCTCTGCCCTTTCACACCACCAGTAGAGTTGCAAAATTTCCCTACCGCACTACCGGCATGCCGGTAATTTTTCACTACCGCAGGTTTTTTCGTGGTATCTGGCATGTCTTGCCGGTAGCATGCCGGTATTTTTGATTTTGCACAAAAAATTAAAAATTATCAGCATATGATTCAAACTTTGGACACTAAGAGGCTATTGAATTGTAATAAGTTGGACAATGGTTGGCTGTTGGGTGGGGCGGTTACTGAAATTGCCAAAATGTGGCATCTGATGTAGGGGTAAGCCAGAATCAAGAATGCAGGTTTTTTAGTATGCCGGTAATTTGGCGGTTTTTTTGCTTGGGGCGTGGTAGCATGCCGGTATCCCAGAAAATGTTTGTGGGGCGGGGCGGTGCCGGTAGCAGCCCATTGGGAAAACTTTGCAACTCTAACCATCAGCACGTGTCATATCCACCACGTGCACCTCTTCTTTTGCACGGCTCGAGCACGGCAATGGCCGTAGGCACGGCCTTGCCGGCTATCTTTAGTCTGTTTACGACTAGCCGGGCATTACAGCTCTCTGCGTTTGGGGCAGGATCTGGGGAGGGAGGAGGTCTGGGTGAGGGGAGGAGGTCTGGAAACGGAAGGGAGGCCGGAGGAAGGAAGCTGGGGAGGGGGAGGGGAGGCTGGGGTTTCAACTACTTACGTCTGGGGAAGGCTCTGCTGGGGGGAGGAGAGCTGGGGAGGGGAGGGAGGTCGGAGGATAGAGGCTGGGGAGGGGGAGGAGGCTGGGGAACCGGTATCTGGGTCTAGCTGGTAGGTGGAGGTAGGAGTCTAGTGAGGGAGGATGGGACTTGGGAGGGAGGAAGGCTGGTGGGGAGGGATGGGATAAAGCTCAAGACTATAGCAGTGTCTGGCCGTCTGGGTCTGGCTGGCTGTCTGGTTTTGTACCTGGTCGTGTCAGATTTCACTCAGGTGAAGGTTATGTTCCGGAAGTAACGCTGCTATTGTGCCAATAAATCTCGCCCACTGCCGGGATAGGGGCTCTGTGGTGAAGTCTGCAGCATGCCTGCGCGACGCGCGTCCTGTACCTGCCTGTGATGTGACTTGACCTCGTCTCCGTGCTAACTATGAAGTTCGAGTGTCAGGCCAGACGTGCGTGACTGCTGCGTGTGATGTATTCACAGGTATCTGATGGACATTGCGCTACATTCACCTCAATCTATTTGTGACTTCAACCTTCATCTGACTCAGTGAGGGCATTGCTGTGATCTCAATTGCTTTCTCTGTCCGTGGTGTGTTCCGGTGTGGCTTCGATGTGAGCATCAACAGGTGAATTTACATGCATCTACGAGTGTATTTGGGTATATTTACGGGTGTGCTCGGCTGAATTCACCTCCACCTGTGTCACAGCATTGTCTCCGCCTCAGTGTCAGCTGCTTTAGTCTGGCAAACCTAAGAAAGAACGAAGTTAGCGCCTGAATCACTTTGCACGTGTTTGAGCCACTTGAAATGTATTGTTCGGAGAATTTGTGTGAGAACTTTTGAGAGAAAACATGCTCTCACAAAATAAATGTATATCCATAAACGGCTGCAGCACTTTAAATCCTTATTCTTAGGTTTGCCAGACTATAGTAAAATGTTTCCAGTCTGCTGCCCAAATGTGTCCCGTATGTGTGTCATAATATGGTGTCCTGTACCCAACCGTGGAGTGACACCACCTTGTCTCTGTCCCGGTGTCAGTATCAGTGTCGGCTGTGGTGTCAGCTGTTAACTGCCTGCCGCGAGTGTGTGTATAATTTTACGGGTGTCTGGTGGACATTGACATTTAGATGACACCTCCAGTCCTCCAATCCCCTTGATATTTATTTCCATTGACATTTCTGATGGAAATATTCCTCCACCAGCGTTGTGACACCACCCTCATCTGCCTGTGTCAGTATTCGTGTCATCTGTGGTGTCGTATTTCCAACCTGCCGCCTGTGAGTATTTACGGGGTGTCGGAGTTACCTCATACAGCTGGCGTTAATTCCACGTGACGAGGGAGTGGGAGGGGAAGGGAGATGAGACGGTAGGGAGAGAGAGAGAGAGAGAGAGAGAGAGAGAGAGAGAGAGAGAGAGAGAGAGAGAGAGAGAGAGAGAGAGAGAGAGAGAGAGAGAGAGAGAGAGAGAGAGAGAGAGAGAGAGAGAGAAAGAGAGAGAGAGAGAAGAGAGAGAGAGAGAGAGAGAGAGAGAGAGAGAGAGAGAGAGAGAGAGAGAGAGAGAGAGAGAGAGAGAGAGAGAGAGAGAGAGAGAGAGAGAGAGAGAGAGAGAGAGAGAGAGAGAGAGAGAGAGAGAAGCAGTGGTGAGGTGAAAGTATGAATATGCACTATATCGTAAGTATTTATGTGAATGATAGTGTAAGCAGAAAAGAGATTACAGTTGCTGCTTTGTGATGAAAAAACACGTCAAACAATCCAAACGTTATTCCTCGTTAGTCTAAAAACAAATAAAATGTTATATTTTGAAACAAAATAAATGAAACAAAATGTTATACAGGTGTACAACAATATGGAATGCTGTGGTATAGGCATTAGCGAAGCTGGGCTACTGGAACTAAGTATATAAAAAAGCATGCAAACTTACTAGAGCTACTTGCAGTGAAACACCAGTATCAACTACCAGAGACATTCCCACAAGCCCATCAGCATCGCATACAAAACCCAATGTAAAACATGCGCTGAACAGCCATTATCCACTCTTACTTGTAGTTCATTTGACTTACCTGTACTAGTGCGCTGCTCCTGTGGTCATTTCTAGACAGCCTTATTGTGTCAGAAAAGGCTGTCGGTAAGGTAACTACGCAGAATGGCAGTTGCTTCAAAACACCGCGAAACTGCACACAATTTGCACGGTTGGGTAAGTGTTCCGTCAAACTTCCGTCAAACTACAAAGCCCCACTCCTACATCTTAAGCACATGTTCTTTCTTCCTCGTTCTCTGCTCATCTTTCGAGTGGTTTATTTTTAACCGATGCTTTTTAGTGACTCTCCAGCTTCAACTATTCTCTGACTTTCTTTTACCGCCGATGTTGCCTTTTCCCACGCTCTGTGGTGTTCAAGAGGGCTAAGGTCAGCCCCTTCCACTGGCGACCCTCCGAAGGAAGTGACTCGACTGCGATATCTTGAGTTATTATTGATCACGTTTTTCAGTAGGGAAAGAAAATTAGAACAGAATTACTGAACATTAACCCGCGCCCCAGTGGCGGTCTCAGCTAACTTCGCCCTAGTGGGGGGGGGGGGGGGGGCATATGTTACCACCCACCTCTAACTCAAAAACTAAGAGGGCTAGAAAGACGCGGTAAAAAGCAGTCGATAGCTCTCAATACGTACGTTTGAAAGTATTTCGGTCATTTTTCACCTTAGAGCAATATCGGGGTCACCAGAGGTCTCTTAGATCAAAATTTGTCAATAGTCATTATATTTTTCAGAAAACATGCCATTATCTCAGGAACTATGGTAGCTAGAAAAACGCATGGAACAGCAAGCGATAGCTTTTGAACTATTCTTTTGAAAAGGTATTTATCAATATTGCCCTCAGGTCAACAGTTTAGCCTCCAGAGGGCAAAAACTCCAAAAATAGCTGTTTTTACCAAAAGTGTTTTTCGACAATAACTTTCGACTATAAAAAGCCACGACATTTATATTGCCAGAATCGTGTTCCTCTCGCCGAGACGCGTCGAATGAACTATAATTTGACCTTGATAGGTCAACTTGAAAATTTGACCTCAGGTCAAGGTCATGACCTGACCGGAAAAGGTCATGTGGCATATCAGTCGATGCGTCTTAACAAGACAAACACAATGAGACCAACCCCAGCGTTCTATCTCTTTCCAATCGCAAGTTATGGGCAAAAAACTGTTTGTAGCCTCAAATGACCTCGGATGACCTTTCTAGAGGCTATCAGCAAAAATGACACCTTGGTCATCACGAGTGGACTAAGTCATTGTGATTCTGAAATATTTGGACTGTTCCTATGCGTACACACGGATCTAGAGGCATTTTCATTTTTCTCCATTGACTTGTAATGGAAAGGTCACGCCACTGACCTGACCTTAGGTCACGGATATAAAAAATCCGAGATAAACAAATTGTAGGCACCCATAACAGCATGCAATCCACCAACTTTGAAACCTTTCTGACAAACACTGCAGACTGGACATGATTGCAAACTTTTTTAGGCTTGGTCAGTTAACCCTCGCCGGACCTATTGGTTTTCTACATACGCGCCGGCCGAGGGGGGGGGGGGGCGGGTACGACCCCCCCCTCGCCGTTTCGCCCCTGGTGGAGCTAGCGCGTCGCGGAAAAAAACGAGCGTGTGCGCCGTTACGAGACGCAGAGATTGGTACCTGATTTTAAGGTCCTAGGTTAACCGGTGACCTCTGAGGTCAGGTCAAGTGCCCCAAGGTACGGTTCAGTTTTTGGTGAATAACTTCGCAAAAAACGGCCGCAGAGCGCCGATTTTGGCAGCATCGTGTTCGTCTCGCTCAGGCGCGTCGAATGATATACTTTTTGTCCGGGTCAGGTCAACTTGGGGTGTTGACCTCAGGTCAAGGTCAGGTCAGCACCCCCAGGTCACGAAGTTGGTCGAAAGAGGTCATGTCGCATATCATTCGATTCGGTAGGTCTTCCTGAGTCCATTGGTGGCTTTCCCGACTCGCTAGCTCAATTTGATCAAGAGTTATTGACGAAAAACTAATATGACCTTGATGACGTCACAAATGACGTCACGCAAGGTCAACATTGCAAAAGTGACGCATCTAACCTTGCAAGGAGTGCATCAAATCACGATTCCGTGTGCTTGAGATAGTTGGAGATCGTTCCCGGCGCCAGAATAGCAGTTTTCATTTTTCCCCATTGACTTTTAATGGTGAGGTCACGAAAATGACCTGACCTCATATGACCTTTAGGAAAAATCCGAGATATACAAGTTGTGGGACTCATAATGGATACAAGTTTCATTTCCCTGTGACATCTCCTCTGGCAGTGAGGGCGTTGCGAAGTTGCGACATCTGAAGACTGTGCAGAGGTTCACTTATGACGTCATAGGTCAGTGACCTGACCTGACTCAAAAATGCGGTTGGTGTCAAAAGATCCGGCTTGGATCAAAGGTCAGGTATGCCAAGTTTCAGCTCGCTATCGCCATTGTGTTCGGAGCTATCGCGAAAAAACCCTATGGGGCCGCGGCACCCGCCCCCCCCCCCTCGGCCGGCGAGGGTTAACTTGATCTGGTGACCTGACCTGACATGACCTGTGGTCAAAAATTTCACACATTGTCCAAAATTAATGTACCAAAAGCTACCCCCAGCGGCGCGGCGCTACGCGCCGCGGTTTTTTATTCACACGCAAAAAACGCGACAGGGTGGTAATATATGCCCCCCCCACTGGGGCAAAGGTTAAAAAAATATGATTTACCGCATATAAATTAGGATATATGCGGAAACAATCAGGAAACATTAGAACATTAGAAACATTAGAACATAGGAAACATTAGAAACATTAGAACATTAGAACAGGAAACATTAACAATCAGGAAAAATTATGAAATTTACAATTTGTTGTACAACTTCTACTTTGTTTTTAGCACGTGCTGAAACCAACACCACACCCAAAAACACCCGCGAGATCACCTGTTTCCACTTTCCACCGACTGCTCTTCCTGTCCGTTTCACCACACACACCCGACTACGAAATCCGTCCGGTGGAGGTGCCTCAGTTCAGCGGAAATAACCAGCGACCGACACCTTGGCACCGTGCCAATAAACAATCGCCGGTGGCCGCCGCAGTCGCTCTGCCTGGACTGCGCGCGTTATCAGGTGAAAAACGACCCGTCCTTGTGTCATTTGGAGTGTTGGTCAATAGATTCGGTGAAATATCGTGTGATCAGAGAGAGTAGAGGAGGCAGCAACTTGCGATGTGCGAACGGTTCGCAGCTGTGTTTTTATCCGTATCTCTGTCGGTTCTCGTCATAATGCCCACTTTAGGTATGGTTGTCGGGTAAAACGAAAAATAAAAAAATAAATAAAAACGTGTGTCTGATGTTTTTGCAACAACCAAAAACGTAAATTTGTTTTCATCTTATATTTTATACACATACAGCAACACTGCAGAAAAACACCTGAACAAATACACGACAATACGGCAGAGACGGCAATGCCAGCGACTGTCACAAGTCTCGAATCTAGAGAGTGAAATGAGAAGCGCATTGAGAGAAAACTCAAGCGAACACGGTTATGGTCCGGTGTAAATAATGGCTTTTTTGTTGACTGGTATTATCGTAAGAAAATAAATCACTGATTTTATCGTATCAAAAAATATTTGATGAAGGCGTTTCGTTAAAAAAAAATATCTTATTACGGGACGTAATATTTTGGATGAAACAAGCGCAGACAAAAAGGAAGTATACCTATCGCCATTGTAACATAACAAAATTTTACCCATGTTTTCTACGATTCTGAAGCTGAGACACGACGACATTACGCATGAAGCTTCATAAACATAATTTAGGTGTGCCGCACGCTTGTCCTATCAAAATCAATGAATAACGATAGGTACTGGTGTCAGTTTTGATTGTTCTACATTTCAGCCAAAGCCAAAGCTAAAGCCTAACCGCATTGTCGGAAGACGACCAATATAATTACATGTTACATTCACACGATTCAGTGCGACCAATCATATTCCTGGATTACATATGAGACCAATGACGCAATCATACATCACGTAGCTATGTTTTTCCACTACAATATGCACGACGATGGAACATGTGAAACACCAATGAGCATTCAAACACTTGCATTCATAAACACATTATCTATCGCCACAATACAATTAAAACGTACATCTCTGGTAAAGCTCATTCATCCCTGGACATCTTCTGCTATCAAAATATCCACATTATCAACAAGTAAATAAAAACAAATCTGCTCATGATTGCCGCAAAACGACAAAGAAAAAACATTGAACAGCAGCACAATTGACAGGCATATTTACTGCAGTTTTACGATGCGTCTGTTGATAAAAATGGACAAATAACAACGCTAAATGGTTGATTGCAAACATCAACTCAGCAGCAGAGACAACATCGCAAAAACAGAAATTCAAGACACGCTTTCTCCTAAATTCAAATTTAACTTCACCCGACATTCTACTTCTAATAGACCGCTGCTGAAACATGAGTTTTAACGTTGAGCACCTACACTACGCACAACAACAAAACAATCACATTACGATGATCACGATATTTCCACAATTCAAAGCTTAGGCCCATTCGCCATTCCAACACATGTAGAGTATAGACGTGAAGTGACATTTTCATTCGACCCATAGCGCCAGGAATCATCGAACCTAGTCATATAATCTTTATCCGTACGCTTGGAGGGACGTCCTACGCCTAGTACAAACACCATACATAATTATATTCACTGTCATAAAACACGCCCCATAACTCCTATTTGGTCCGCCCTTGGAGTTTGAGGAAGTAACATCGACCTACACGCTGATGACAATTAGCCATTTACTTTATTACATTATCTACATAAACACACCTCAGTGAAGAGTACCCGCCATCTTGGAACAGTATCACGTCGAAAAGCGATGCGCCACTGCTGTTTTCATTGCAGCAGTAAAAATCAACACCGAATACACAACATGCTGTACAGTTTTTACGTTAGCAGATGTTGATTAGAATGTGTTACGAATTGGCGCTAAAAACAAAGAAAAAAAAAAACAAAAACAAAATACAATGCTCAATAAAAGCTGATTATTTAGCACTGTGTTACAATGAACATACCTCATTAGATTGAGACATGCAACAGCGACAAAAACGATGCCTAAAACACGAGATCATTTCCTTCTTCGTCGTAGTAAACGCAAACAACAAACCAAATATTATTGGTACGCGACTCCTCACCTGATCTGCTTACATCAAAATACAACAAAGTGGACGCATTATCAAGATACCATCCGCCACCGATGTCACCTTCGTCTCTAAGACTACATTTCAACGTTATTTTTCCCCACATTCAACGTTGAATCTCACTTAACACATGCCTAACGAAAATCACGTGACACAACATGTATCAGCCTGTGTAGCACGCGCACGTGCGTGATTCAAACAACACCCTTCCTGAGCAGCGCTTACATCTAACACAAACACGTTTCAATCTCATGTTTTGTTGCGTTATGCAACACAGCCCGAACACACCAATTTACACTTCATTTCCCGACTGAGAGAGTCCATCTTGAGGCAAATTCGTGTACGCCTCTAGACGAAGTGCTGCCCCCATGCTGGATTTTCTTCTTCCGTGAAGGCTCTGAGAAAAGTACCCCTCGCGGCGAGGCTTCAGGTGTCGGTTGTTGGCCTCCATGTGTACGATTTTCATGAACTCGATTTGTGCAGCGAGTTTTTGGACCTCCTCCTGAGGACAGAGTAGGCGCAGAGTTAACGACTTATTTACGATAGGTGGTTTTGAAAGGATGCTGAGTGGGACAGGCTACAGGACTTTTTTCATCTGAATGCGCTAACAGATTTGGTAACTAGCTAAACATGACGGATAATAATGTCTTCTACCACTCATGGCGGTTCTTTTTAACAACCGACCCCGGCCAATATCTTCTCAAAGTGTGGCGCCGGACGACCACCCAAGGTTCTCCGATAATTACCTAGCCAAGGTGATAAAACCCCGCTATACGCCCGACCGCGCCAAGCTCGGCTCAATGACCGTCGCCCGCAACAGAGCCCAGAATCGGGTATTGATTTTACACTACCATCCATCATCACCTACAAAGACTGAACACAAGCGCCTCTGACGGTGGGTGACCAACCTTTAGTTCCTCATTTTCCCGATAGATGCTGATGTCTTCCTCGTCGGGCTCAATCCCGTTTAGGTAGAATGACGCGGCAGCTCCTCTGGCTTGGGCTCTGGCGTCGTACTCGTCACCTTGACCGACTGCGATTCGGTAGAACTGGTAAAGGTAGAAATTGGTCAGCTTAGTATATTTGCTACAGCTGGCAGCACAGTAGGTTTTCCATCACCTTAACCGACTGAGATTCGGTAGAACTGGTAAAGGTAGAAATCGAACAACTTAGTAGATTTGGTAGCACTGGCAGCACAGCGGATATGCTTACATTATACTAGTCACCAAAGATCTCCTCATTACTGTACATATGTAACTATAAATGCGCCTGCCACCTGTGAATCCAGAAGAAGTTACTTTGAAAGGCGGCCAGGGGTCTTTACGACAAATCTAGACGAGACACACTTATTTTCTCCCAAGATAAATTGACAGCACGAAGATAAAACACTCCCCTACAGATCTGCCCCTGTCCCACAGGGCTGGGCTCAGCCGCGGCGTCTATGGCATTGCAATAGTCGTGTCTAAACACATCGATAGGCCTTGCTGAAGAAATAAAGAAAATATAAACTGTGAAAAAGACAGCGAATTTGGTAGCGATAGCGGGACAACCTGTCGCGAATAAGGATAGCAAATATGTTAACGTTATATAAACGGTGCGAATGTGTAGTACAGAGATGCTAACATATAACAGCTGCCTTTCCTGAATCTGTTCTTATAACCTTGTCGTTCAGATTCCGACGAATGTCGGTTATATACTCGTGTACAGCTTACATGGGCTAACCTATTCTTGATTTATGAGACGCACTTACCACGATATACACCTGATAATGATATGGTCATTGGGTCTGTTCCAGTCGCACTTCCTAACACCCCTAAACTCCTTCAAGAGCAAGATAGAGGAGGTTGGAGCAGGGCCCTCCTTAGCTTTGTAGGGGCTAGAGCTGCCACTGGAACAGGAAAGCATCTTGGAGGAGTTTAGAGGTGTTAGGAATGCGACTGGAACAGACCCATTGTTATATATTTAATTACCTTAGGGCCAGTATCAGTACGATGGTGGTGGTTGTGCTGAGTTGAGTTCTTACGAACCCCAACAGATATTTGACGTCTGGTCCGGATGTGATGAACAAGCTGAAAAGTAAGTCAGTGGGTCAAATGTTACTCGAGCTCGCTAGCAAAGGAGAATGTTTTGCACACAGGTTGTTCCAATATACCAGAGGTAGAACTTGCATTTCGAAGTTAAACACTCCATTGGCCGAAACAATTCGATTTGCATTTCTGCTTTGTCAAATAGTCACTTGTCGGTTATTAATTACTCATATTCGTTAGCGACGTTGTGTAAAAAATCCCTGCATATGGCTGCCATGGAGAGTTGATTTATCCCCCGACGAACTGCTGGAATGGCAACCTGACTGGTAACTTACTCATTACACGTTGACTGGTGGGTT